TTCTAGGTCTAGTGTTAGTTCTTGTGATAGTGCTAGTGTTAGTTCTAGTTTTAGTTTAATTAATATCGGCCGTGAAAGCCTTCGTACTTATAAGATAGACTTAGTTTCCCAGTCTAAAATCATTTTCATCAGTTTCAAATGTCTTGGTGTCCTTAATGGTGGAGGCGGACGATGTCTCCGGAACCAAACATTTAGAAATTATACAATAGCCACCAAGTCTTTGAAAGTCGAAAAAATTGACCAATGCCTTTGAAAACGGCCGCAGTTATTTTGTCAAACATTCTCAGCGAATTTTTGCATTATTATTTCCCCCACAATAATTTTTACTTTATTTTATTTAATGTTGCGTTATGAATAATTTCAATAAATGCAGATGTTATGAGATTCAGTATTGTTGTTCATCCGGAGCATTTTACAAACTTGATTACAACAATTTTACTCCTGTTCTTATTGTTGCCATTATTCTCGCTAGAAGCAATCCAACCAATTTCGCAGTTACTAAGACAGTGAAGAATTGCACCAATCCCAGATATCGCGATATTTTAAAGTTATTTTTGATTGAAATTGTTGTATATAGAGCCGTGTGTTTCTTCCAGTACAATCATAGATAACAAAAATTACATTCAGAAAATCAACCGAGCATATATTAAATGTGGGATACCCAGGTAACTAAAACTACAGTACTTGCAAACGCAAACCAATCTACATGCAAATTTTAATGAAACCTTTATTTTCGCAGTTTTCTGTTGCATTAACGGACCTTTACGTCGCGTGCTAATTTAATTAATTTATTCCATGTACAGCGAAACGCCTTGTTTTCATATAATAAAGAAGCCAAGTGTGGTTAATTTATCCGATTAAAGGTAACCTTTTAATTCAATTTATCTTAAAAAACTAGGTATTTGTTACGAAAATTGGTAATGTTAGCGTTTGCTTTTTTCATTGATTCGTCGCATTTGCAGCAAACAACCCTCTAGGGAACGCTAACCCGTAAGGACGCGGTCTAAGGGGCACGTTATTCGTTCGATTGTTGAATAAGTTAGAGCCGGAAACGGCCTCTTTAAGCGGGCCAATAAACCAGCCCTATCTCGAATCCCGATTCCGGTCGTAAATTTATTTGCACACCCGGAGTAACAACGAACCCCGGCACCCCATTTCCCTCGTCGTCGTCATAGCCGTCTTTGGCGACAGCGAAAAATTTACGCGATGGATTTACGAGGCGCCGCGCCGCGACGTCGACGTCGTCGCCACGGCCGCATTTCAATAACGCCGTTATACGAATTATGACGAAGGTAGAACGGAGCGGAGATTTATAACGAACCCCCGGGGTTAACGTTAAATTAACGATCGTAGGATGTGTCCATTACGAGCTGCTAACCAAGATAACAAACGTTATTTCTTTGCGTCCGGGTGAAGCTATATTTTATGAAACTTGGACAATCTCAATCTCGTTACAAACGTTTTTAAAATTAAACTTTATTATTTATTTTTTAAAAGTAATATTTACGAACTCAATTTTCCTTGTGTAATATTCAGAAATAAATGAGTAATAAAGGTCGTTGTAGAACACGAAAATCATTAGTTTTACAGCGTTTCCCGAGCGTACGATTAAAATATACCGACCATAAACCACTCCTATAAATATAAATATTAGATGCGGCTTCTGCCAAGACCGCGAGTTGGGAGGACGACGCAAAGCGATAAAATAAAACGGAAAACTTGTTAACACCACACGTTCCTGTGACCCGCCCCTGAACCCTCCTCGTCACCCTTTCCGAGTCTTCTTTTTCCCGGACACGAAAACATTATAAATCTCCTCGTATTTTTGCAGTCTAGAACTGGGTCGCAGTCGTTTTTCCAAGTAAAGCGTCGGCCGTGTATAAGCCGCCCCCGACGACCGTCACCCTTCCTCTCCGTTGCAGGATTCCCAATGAGAAAAGCAGAGCCGGCGGCGGGATGGGGCTAAAATACGAGCGCTCGCTTAAAACCGAGCACAAAGGACACATCCCCACTTATTTAAGAAGGACGGGTGGCGCACTTCCGGGCCATAAAGCGCCACCTGCAGGGAAAGGTCCGCGAATTAGTTGCCCGCCCCCCCGATATCGAGCGTGAAATTTTCGCTTTATTTTTAGAACGGCTCTACAAATCCGAAGGGAGGAAATGTAGGTGACGATAAGAAGTTAGAGGTCAGGGTAATTTTGTTTTTCGAAGGGTCGAAAACAAATATCGGGAAATTAGTAGTATCACCTTGAACTTTGAATATCATATAGTTTTCATATAAGTAGGAAGGCTATAAGAAAGCTCTCTAAGAAACTGACACTAGAAAGAAATATTCGGGTTTAGCCATGCGTCTCTTAAGACGGCTTAAACCCGATTGTTTCTAGTTCTAGGTCTAGTGTTAGTTCTAGTGATAGTGCTAGTGCAAAACCAGAACTAACACTAGATCGAGAACAAGAAACATTCTGGTTTAGCCGTACGTCTCTCAAGACGGCTAAACCCGATACTTTCTAGTTCTAGGTCTATTGTTAGTTTTAGTGCTAGTGTTAGTCTAGTTTTATTTGTTATTCAGCGCTAGATTGTTGTACATTTTCATTGAAGAACCTGCGTTCCCCGTATTGATCCGTTATATCGAAGTTTTACTGTAATACCAATTTTATTAACATGTTGCATTTTATGTGGGACAAAGTAAGTAGGTACGGCCTGGTTTCTATGGAAATATATTTTTGTATATTGCATCGTAAGTGATATTCACTGCAGTTTTATAATAAACTTCTTACTGTAATTTACGTTGATATTGATAGAAGATAAAATGAAAACAGATAGATACGAACATTAACGGTATTAATCGAACAACAATTTCAAACGTCATTTGTTCCCACTCGTTCCATCTCGTCGTTATTCTTCGGTCAATAAACATCACCGTGCCAAAATTAATTCGATTTATCACATTTCGTTGCCTCTGTTCAATTTCCTGTGGTAATGGATAATGTATGTCAAATAATGTGTAATTTGATTTAGGTAGAAACCTCACAACGTTTGGGCTGGCATTGTGGGCGATGTAATTATTGGACCCGTTTTCTTACCATCAAGGCTGGATGGACATACATACAGGCGACATTTAGAGAAATTAGATGATTTTTGAGATGATGTTCTTTTAAACACAAGGCAAGCAATGTGGTATATGCATGATGGTGCTCCTGCGCATAACACACAGGCTGTCCAAGAATTTCTGAGGGAACGTTTTCCGGGACGGTGGATTGAACGAAGAGTAGGTGCACCCATAAGTTGGCCCCCCGATCGCCGGATCTTACACCTGTAGATTTTTATTTATGGGAACGCGTTAAATCGCTAGTTTACTGCGTTGAAATAACTTCAGTTGATCAACTGAGGTTGCGAATTGTTGATTCATTTGATCAACTTCAAACTGAGATCAATGGTCTCCGCAGAGTGCGCTTTAATTTAAGACTGCGATATCAGGCAGTGTTTTTGAACATCTGCTTTAGTATTTTTTTCTTCTTTTTTATTTATTACTATTTGTTTATAATTATGTTCTTGTTAATATTTATGTTAGAATTTTTGTTATGTTCTTGTTTGTTGTTACCGTGAAAATTAAATTTATCGTTTTGGAAATTACATTGTTTTATTCAACTAAAATAAATTAACGCTGGATTTAACTAAATCTGCACTTAGAAATTTATGCAAATAATGGTTATTAGCTCAGTTCGTTTTTCAATTGTAGCATGTATAGCATGGTTGCCGCCGCCCGATCAAAGTCAAAATTGGTTCAATGATTTTGCTTGATATTGGCCCATATCTTGGCCATTTGAAGACTTTTATAATAATTTTTTTTCACGAATCGTCATCATTTTTGCTCTAGTATATGAGGTTAATTTTATGCCCGAGTCACCGGAACACCCTGTATAGTTTTATCAGTAGGAAGACTATAAGAAACTGACACGAGAAAGAAATATTTGGGTTTAGCCATGCGTCTCTTAAGACGGCTTAAACCCGAATGTTTCTAGTTCTAGGTCTAGTGTTAGTTCTAGTGATAGTGCTAGTGCAAAACTAGAACTAACACTAGATCGAGAACAAGAAACATTCTGGTTTAGCCGCACGTCTCTCAAGGCAGCTAAACCCGATGCTTTCTAGTTCTAGGTCTATTGTTAGTTTTAGTGCTAGTGTTAGTCTAGTTTTATTTGTTATTCAGCGCTAGATTGTTGTACATTTTCATTGAAGAACCTGCGTTCCCCGTATTGATCCGTTATATCGAAGTTTTACTGTAATACCAATTTTATTAACATGTTGCATTTTATGTGGGACAAAGTAAGTAGGTACGGCCTGGTTTCTATGGAAATATATTTTTGTATATTGCATCGTAAGTGATATTAACTGTAGTTTTATAATAAACTTCTTACTGTAATTTACGTTGATATTGATAGAAGATAAAACGAAAACAGATAGATACCAACAGCAAATTACATCAGTCGGTATTAATCGAACAACAATTTCAAACGTCATTTGTTCCCACTCGTTCCATCTCGTCGTTATTCTTCGGTCAATAAACATCACCGTGCCAAAATTAATTCGATTTATCACATTTCGTTGCCTCTGTTCAATTTCCTGTGGTAATGGATAATGTATGTCAAATAATGTGTAATTTGATTTAGGTAGAAACCCTATCCCAAATAGTTAATGGGCCATCAAAATTCCGCCTAATATAATTTAAAAGCATCTAAAATACAAACTAATTGATATTAACATTTTTAAATTTCATTAAAATTAATCTACAAAATATAAAGAAGGCAGTAAATTTAAGATGAACAATTTGAGGTTGGGGAGGGTTACGTTTTTTAACTAGATTTCCTCTGTTGTGCCTCCGTCCTGATTTCCTTAATTACTTCCAACCCGTCGACTGGTTTCTAAGGATTGCTCATGAATTTCTAAGAAGCTATACCATCGAGAACTTTACCGATTTCTCATTTTATTAATTTTTATTTCAGGTGACATTACACAAAAGGGTTATGAGAAGAAACGCACAAGACTGCTTGCTCCATATGTACCCAAACAAAACACAAGTAAGTCAAAAGTTAATTACCATCAGAATAGATGTTAAACATTATAGGTTATTAACTGATACTTAAAGACATCTTTAAATTGAACAATTCAACCCGTTACACCATCGCGTTATTAATGATCGTAAACCATAAAGATAACGTGTTTGTAAACCGCAAAAAGCAAAATAAGTAACCGACAATAATTTCGCTATCTCTTTTGTCTAATTGGTTTTACAGATTTGGTTTTAATGAGTTAACTGCGGTTGGTTGATATTTTTCTATATCCTTTGTGTTTAATGACGGTATATTTTGACTGTCTTCCTTTGTATGATATCCACACCGACATTTTTTCACCGTTTCGTCCTCTCTTTGTTTTTGTGCCGTGACGTAGCCGGGGGCATTGGTGGTGGTGGTGGCGGTGGCGGCGTCGGAGCCCCACACGAAGACAGCAACGACAACGGCAATAATGTTGCCGGACCAAAGCAGCACACCAGACGCCGCACGCAACGACGTGTCACGCACAACGAGAAAAGATACCACTCAGGTTTGAGTGCACGTTAACAAAACAATTCAAAACAAAAATTTAAGAAAACATTTTTTATTTCATTTCTTTTATTTAATTTTATTTTTTTTTTATAATTCATTGATGTTGTAGGCAACAATTTTTTTTTCGGCATGTGATTATTGATTATAGTCATTTTTTGTGCAGTTCTTATGTAAAAGTTACATTCCTTTTACATTTTTTTGAATACAACATTAATAAAAATAAAACTTTATTTATAACAACTTAAAGTTATTTTGAAAAGTGTTTATATAGGGTTAACTTAATTATAGCTTTTTGCTGATGTAACACATACCGACCATAACGTGGTATTCACTGACCACAGAAAAACCTTACAAGAACTAACGAACAAAATAAGCGACGTCATTAGCCAATACGAGAGATTAATAGCAATAAGACCAAGTTCATGGTCGTTGGTAAGAAGACTGTTAGCAGATGACAGGTCGCCTACGTGGGGTCCGTCATTAATGAGAACTGGAACCAATATCAGGAGATACGGAGCAGAATAGAGAAGGCAATGACTAAACTGTTCAAAAGTCGATATCAAAGTCAGATTCCTCAGATGTTATATTTTCTCGGTGTTTTTCTATGGAGTAGTTTTCGAATGGTTCTCAAAACTACCACCGAATTATTCAGAATAGCCCGGAATAAAGTTATCATATCCAGGATGATATTCAAAACGAACATTGAGCGAACCCAAAGAAAAAGAAGAATTATGTCCATGACGACAATGAAATTTGATCACGAAGCTATAAAATATAGCTGATAAGGTTTTCGTTCTGGTAGTTGCGTTTCACTCTAGATTTGGAATCAAATTGTTACACATCAATCAAATTCAAGACTCACAATTTTGATCATGTCCAATTGAAAATTAGATAGTGCGTTTAGAATCGTGACGCTTATGGTTTCTGCGCTAAACTTTTCTGGTGATTAAAATCCTAAGAATTTTTCTTTAGTCGCAGATGTTTCGCAGTTCATTTTAGAGATGATTTGAAGTGTACATTTGAACGAAATGTTCTATGGAAAATGCCGATATTGTCGGGTTCATTAAAAGTTGGAAACTCGGATGAATGGGGCACGTGGAACGAATAAGCGGTGGAAGGACATAAGAGCATTTGCAGGCTGAAGACCAGTGGGTCGAAGATCAAGGGGCAGACTGAGAAGAAAATGGATGGATGATGTGGAGGAAGATTTGAGGAAAATTGGAGTTAGAAGGTGGAAACAGTTATTTGGTTAGGGGACTGAATGAAAGAAGATGATTGAGCAGTCAACCCACCAAGGGTTGTAATACCGGAGGAATATACATGTTATGTTGATTCTGTACTGAAAAGAGTTTGAAAAATGGTGATCCAATTCAAGCACAAGTCAAATTTATATCTATACAAATAAAAATGTTATTGCAAGAAACTAGTTCTATTGTGTGCAAAGAAACAATTTATGAGAAAACTAAAAAACATTATAAATACTATTACATCATATTTCATTGTTAAAGGATACGTACTTTCAATTTAATATGTGTTATAAGCACCAAGATGTGTGATAAACGATTTATTATGCGGAAATAAATGGCCTTTTAACTGCATTAAGAAAATTATAAAGAAGAATGTGCGAAGTTTTCGAAAGTAGAGAAGCGGTACAATATACAGGGTGTCCCGCAACGATTGTACAAAACTGCATCAGCGTATTCTATGATCAAAAATAAACAAAAAAAGCCTAATAAACATAGGTCCGAAAATGGACCATTTTCGAGATATTCAAAGATTTAGTTTCATAAGTTGATATTGTTAACATCATGAATTTAAATTTGTTTTTATAATAATTAAGTCGTTACTATGATTACGATAAGTTGTCTAATCAAAAAAAAATAATAATACTTCACGAAATTATTATTTTACTATTTAATTTAATAAAACTATTAAGTATGGCTCCTATTAATTACTCCAAGGAAGAGATGGCGGATATGGTGTATTGTTACGGACTAGCTGATGGAAATGCGTCGTTAGCAGCTCGTCATTACGCGCAAAGGTTCCCGAACAGACGATTGCCTAATAGTCACACCTTTAGCAGACTATTTCTCAGATTAAAAGAAACGGGAAGCGTAACCCACAGCCATTCCACGGAGAGACATTACACAAGGCCGGTGGAATAAGAAGAAGCAGTTTTGAGAAAAGTCGATGAAAATGCCTCAACCAGCATTAGAAGAATTTCTGCACAAGAAAACATTAACAAAATAACCGTTCACCGCATTTTAAGGGAGCAGTTGCTTTATCCTTATCATTACAACACCGTTCAAGCTCTAACAGAAAATGATGGCGAAAAAAGAGAGATTTTTTGTAGGTGGGCCATACAGGAAGAGGTAGTAATCGTCGACTTTCCCATAAACATTGTATTTACGGATGAAGCAACATTTCCTCAAAGCGGAATTTTTAATATTCATAATGCGCACGTTTGGAGCGATGAAAATCCCCATGCAATACTAGAAACTCATCAACAGTGGCGATTCAGTGTTAATGTATGGGCTGGAGTTATAGGTGATCAGTTATTAGGTTCATTTTTTCTTCCAAAGAGATTGACAGCCGATGCCTACGTACATTTTTTACAAAATGACCTTACAGAGGCATTTGATGAATTACCTCAACAAATTCTAGAAGATTGCTACTTTATGCACGATTATGCACGCGCTACTCGAGCATACTTAAATAACAGATTTGGCAATAAGTTGATTGGCCGAGGAGGGCCACCTCGTTCACCAGATTTAAATCCGTTAGATTTTTGGTTTTGGGGACATTTAAAACAAATTGTTTATTCTGAAGACGTTCAAAATGTGCAGGATTTGAAGAATAAAATTAGTAACGCATTTGACACAGTAAAACAAATTCCTGGTATCTATGAACGCATTAGAAGTTCATTTAGAAAACGTATCCGTTTGTGTTTAGAAGTAAATGGTGCGCATATTGAACATTTATGATGACATGAATCTTTTCCAATTTGTTAAATATTCGTTGTTTTTATGCTGGTTGAACGATTTTCTTCGACAATCTTTGTTACTTGTTTTGTTAAATTATTAATGAACTGTATTAATTAACTTAATATTATCTTATTATTTATTCAACTTTATCTTAACCATCGTAACCATGGTAATCATATAATTACTGCATCTAAATCGTTAGAATTAATGATGTTTACAATAGGTCAGCTTATGAAACTAAAACTTTGAATATTTCGAAATTGGTCCATTTTCGGACCTATGTTTATTAGACTTTTCTTGTCTGTTTTCGATCAGAGAATACGCTAATGCAGTATTGTACAATCGTTGCGAGACACCCTGTATATTCTAAAATTTCTTTTATAATAATCTTTTCATTTTAAAACTATAAAATTTTATTTTTTGCTTTGACGTTTCTTTAATTTTTCTCTAATAAAATTAAGTTCTTTAAGTTACAGGGGTAATGAAAAAGTTGGATACCATAATTTTTATTCTTTTTTTGATTTGAGGATTAAGTGGTTCATTGTTTTTTAACTTTTACTTTGACTACCTAGTGAATGTAATAAGAAGTGTAAAGAAAATTGATGTTTTTTATAAAAAGTGAATATTAAATGAAATAGTAAGAATTTAAAGGGTAATGAAAGGAACGTAACATTTACATTTTACTGTATATGAAGATGCAAGAAATTCGCCGAAGAAGAAGCTGCTTTATCTCGCCCCTTTTACCTTAATTTCCGGTAGCTATGACACGATGTTACCTAATAAGTGCCTCATCGTAGGGCTGAAACTAAATTTTCTACACGTACAGCTATCATCCATGTAGCATATTTCTCGGAAAATTCTAAACCTAACATAACCTTTCCCAGTTATTATTTATGTACATTTCGTTGTCGCTGTGTACTCGGCATGCTCAGTGTTGTTATTTTATGCATGTAGATGTGTCGGGCGTGGGCGCCGTCGCCGAAAATAAGGGCGCCAGCCCCGCCGCGAGGGCGGTTCGAAGGGGCAACCGGAGGCTCACCAGAAACGAGAGTCGCTACCACTCAGGTAAGGGGCACTACGGTCGATCCGGAAAGGGGCGCAGCGGACATGAAGAATGGATGCCGCCCGCCCCCGTTCGTCTCTTTCGTCTTACTAAAAAAAAAACACACCATTCCTTACTTATTCATCCGTTTTCTACGAGTATCTTCTTTGGTTCTTCTTCTTTAATACCCACTTCTCACACCGTCCGCCGTTGTAACCCTTACATACCAGTTATGTTTTTTAGGATATCTTGCATTGGAATGTTTTTTTGCTGCCTGCATATTGATCTTGCGTAGCGTCGATATAAACATTTAAGAATAAAAAAAAATTAATACATTATTTCGCTTTGTAATATTATAATAATTTGGTGATGGTATGCCGTTATGTGTGTTATGTTTTTTATCATTATCGCACTTTATCGTTTATTATTTTGATGTTTTGATGCTTACATTTTTTCTTGTTTTGGTGGTTTAGAGGTGCGCCAAGAAGCCGTTCAACAAGCCCTTGCTCAGGCGATGCAAAACAGGCACAAACCATCTTTACCAATGCCATCGAAAAGAACATCTGTTATGGCTAAAAGTCCAGACAGGGATAGACATGATTCAGGTTTGTATAGAAATAATAATTTTTAATTACTTACATAATTATTACACTACTTTTTTTATAAAACTACTTCAGTAACAAGTTCGAAGTGTTTAACCTTTCGTCGGGCGCAATGCAAAAAAGTATCATATCGGGCGCAATGTATCAAAATGATCACAATGTGTTTACTATGTTATGAAGCTGACTAAATATTATTTTATACATTTTTATTATTATATTTATGGTTATGATATTCTAAATACAATAAATCAAAATTTTTACTCTTATTATTTATTGAAACATTATTAATAATTTATTAACAGTATAACTGAGATAATCGTAACAAAACAATAACAATAAACAGAAAGATCAGCAAACAAAAATGAATCTATGAAAGCGAAAACGTTTATCACTCATTTGATGATGCTCGAGATATTTGCTGGCTGTACAACTAGTAATAAGCTTTGAGCACAACTATGACAAAATGTCTGAATATGTGATAAACATATTAATTTATGACAATTTTTGCAATCGTATTTTGTCAATCGTCGTTTACTCGCTGGAAAATTACAGTCCTCGCACCATTTCCTTTTGACAGCACCACCATCAATCGTTGTTCTCTGTTTTGAGTATCTTCCTCGTTACCATCGGTAGATTGAAAACGTTTCAATCTTTCTTGCATATCTTTAGGCATTCCCAGAGTTTGCTGACTTCTTCGCTTCAATTGGGGTAAAACTGACTAGTGTGCAAACCTTTTGAGGAACATTTTTCTGCGAATAAATTTTTGATTATTCTCAAAACAAATTACCAGTGCATTTATGTCCGTAACGTTCAGCATGGCAAAGAATACTACAGCTGGCCATCGTCTTATATTCCTTGCAAAATTATATGAGGCGCACAATTTATCGGCAGTATCCACACCTCCTTTTGTACTGTTGTAGAATGTTATTATTCATGGTTTTTGTTGACTACCTGTAGCAGCATCGATTGAATTGTCTTCATGAAGCGTTGAAATAAGAAGTACACATTTCCCTTTCTTTGGTATGTACAACGCCATCTTCAGAATCCCACAAATCTTCTAAACTTTGTTTATTAGCCTTGAAAACACCAGCTAAGAACAAGAGACCAATGAACGCTTTCAATTCAACCAAATCGACAATTTTGGCGTCTCTATCGCGTTGGAATTTCGATTTTATATCCTCAATATACTGGTTCGTATACTTCACAATTGTTTCCAAAATATCATCAGTTACTAAACAGCTCCAACATTCTAAAAGAGTACGTGCTGATCTTGTTACGCCCACTAATAATGTAGTCTCTCTAAGCAGGTTATGCTTCTTTGTTCGAATTCTTTTTGCTGGTTGATTGATACTCCATTTCGTTTTTTTGTCCTTACCGAAAAAATACTAATTGCTTTCTATTGACAAACAATCGACTTCGTCTTCAGAATCTTCTTGTTCCGTATCAGAATTCTCCTCTACAGCTTCTACAGCGTCAGGTTTATCCCTATCGCTTTCATTTCCAAAATCTTCTTTTTCGCTAACACTTTCTTCTTCCCATAATATTTTTTCTGTCTTCCTGATATCAGGATTATTAAAAAAAAATTGTTTTTACGGTTGACCATGATTAGCTTTCTAAAGATCTAAAATATATATATAATATATACATGTATGTATATAATTATATACATACATACATATACAGGGTGGTTCACTTTTTAATCGGGAAACTTTACTAGGACGTAGTACTTGCCAAAATAACACAAGTTTTTTATATAAACATAGGGTCGCAACTCTTTTGTTTTCGAGCTATGAGCGATCAAAGTTGAGCTAAAAATTTACATTTTATTATTTATTTCGGCTATAAGTAAACCGAAGAATTTGAAATTTGGTATGTATTTACTACTGGTTAACATCTTGTTTTCTAGCATACCTTAAGCTTCCCTAGCGCCCTCTAAGGGGATGAAATTCACCACCCCCTTGGTTCTTTTTAGAAGAACTTTTTAACGCAATGCAATATTAACATAGAAAAATATGGGTTGTACAGCTCATTCTTTAGTGGTTCTTTTTTGTCTCTTTAGTTTTTCTCTTAAAATTGATAGTTTTTGCGTAAAAAAATAAAATATGTTACATTGCGCGGCAAAGCGCTACCTACAAATAAAAAACAAAATTTTAAGTTGGCTATGGAAGATGTAAACTTACCAGGATTTTGGGCTAACACAATAACACAAATTATTTACGATTTCGTCTCTTGACTTGTTTTCTCATTAAAGTAATAAAAAATTTAATTAAATTTAAGTTAAAATAATCATTCAAAAGATAAGTAACATTTAATAATAAATTAAATAGTATACTAAAAAAATGGAAATTACAAGAGAAAAATGTTAAAAAACAAACAGAAAACTAATTAAGAATCAAAATGAAACAAATTTATCAAAAAAACTCATTACAAAAATAAACACAATTAATTTAAAAATTGTTCAAAATGCATGCCATTGTTATCAATGCATTTTTGGCATCTTGTAACAACAGAATTAACTGCTGCTAATATTTGAAACGGATTGTTCCTTAAAGTGTTAGCAGCGTCTTTTATTTTTCCCAACAGTTCTTCCCGAGTGTTTATTGGAGCGGCGTAAACTAGATTTTTCATATAGCCCCACACAAAAAAATCTAAAACGTTAAGATCAGGAGACCTTGGTGGCCAGGCAACGGGACCTCGGTTTGCCTCTTGATAATTGACAGGACCTAGTCGTCCTATCCGTCTATGACCATGCACGTACGTTAGCGCTGTAATGCGATGGTGCCCCATCCATCTGAAGCCAATGTTGCTCCAGATCACCTAGAGGAACGTCCGATAAACATTCCGCCAAATCGTTTTGCAAAAAATTTAAAAACATCGTTGCGTTCAAACGAGGTGGCAAAAAATAAGGCCCACAGAGGTTATTATTAATGACACCCATCCACACATTAAAACTAAACTCTGTTTGGTAGGTTTTTGGACGTATTGCATGGGGATTTTCATGCTCCCAACTATGTAAGTTATGGTAATTTACGACACCCCTTCTTGTAAACGTGGCTTCATCTGTCCACAAAATCTTCTTACAAAAATTTTGGTCACGTTCAACAGACTGTACAAACCACCTACAGAAAGTTACTCTTTTAGGACCATCTTCAGGTCTTAAATTTTGTACAGGTTGAAAACGATAGGGTTTCCTGTGGTCCTTCTTCAGAGTTCGTAAAATTGTACTTCTTGAGACTCGTAAATTTTGAGCTTGAAGTAGTCTAGCAGCTATGCGACTGCTTAATGTGCTGTCATTATCAAAAAGGTTTAAAATTGCTCTTTGGTTTCTGTTATTTTGATTATTTCGTACTTGCTGGGTATTTAAACCATATTGTCGAAAACGTTGATGTGTATTGATAAATACCTGAGGATCAGGACATCTTCTATTAGGAAACCTTCTAGCGTATTCTCTAGATGCCGCTTCCGCATTTCCATCACAAAAACCATAAATAAAATGAATGTCTGCGTATTCTTCTGTCGAAAATAATCGTGGCATGATCAATTTTTCGTAGTTTTTTAAACAATGATCAACAATAAAAAAATAATGATACTTTTACTTAATAACAATCAAGAAATATTTTCAATAATTGTCAACAATTAAGAGGATTTAACGTAACTAACAGCTCGTCTCAATACAAACATAAATTGTTTTTTGAAAATCAAAGCCAACTTTTAGAGTAATTTTAGCTAAGCATGGCGGTACATGGCACGACATTCCATTTTTTTACACAAAAACTATCAATTTTAGGAAAAAAACTAAAGAGACAAAAAAGTACCATTAAAGAATGAGCTTTATAACCAATATTTTTTTATGTTAATACTCCATGGCGTTAAAAAGTTCTTCTAAAAAGAACCAAGGGGGTGGTGAATTTCATCCCCTTAGAGGGCGCTAGGGAAGCTTAAGGTATGCTAGAAAACAAGATGTTAACCAGTAGTAAATACATACCAAATTTCAAATTCTTCGGTTTACTTATAGCCGAAATAAATAATAAAATGTAAATTTTTAGCTCAACTTTGATCGCTCATAGCTCGAAAACAAAAGAGTTGCGACCCTATGTTTATATAAAAAACTTGTGTTATTTTGGCAAGTACTACGTCCTAGTAAAGTTTCCCGATTAAAAACTGAACCACCCTGTATTTTATTGTATATAAAATAAAAATAAAATTGATTCTTACTTACATGATTCTTACTATCACTCACTATTATATTACTGACTATTATAACACACGAGGTATTATGACTTTTATGTTGCGTTAGGTTCAATAAAATAAATCTGTAAAGTACCGAATCCAGTTTTCGTTCTTCTGTCAACACAATTATAAAATTCTTAAATGGCAGCAATAACAATCGTGATATAAATGTTATGAGTAACAGAAAATACTTTTGAAATAAAGGACACTTATAATATAAAATTATAACTTTCGAAATGATAACACAAATGACCGCAATGTATCAAAATGCGTAGAATTCGCTTTTACTTAATATTTTGAAATATTTATAATGCTCACATTGTAGAGGGTCGCAAAATAAAAAGCTATTAATAACCAGAGACATTTGGAGATTCGCGGTCAAATATACCAAGCCGAATTGTTCCACGTGTATCAATTTGAACAGTTGCGCCCGACGAAAGGTTAAAATATTTATTATATTATTTAAAACTAGAAACATTCGGGTTTAACCGTACGTCTCTTAAGACGGCTAAACCCGAATGTTTCTAATTCTGTCTTCTTAATGACCAAAACATCCAGAAAATGTAATTGTTTAGCAGCTTCCGTCCGATCTATGGCAAATTTGATCATGTTGTTGCGAGTTCAGTTGGTCTAGGATCTTTTGGAGACGCCCTTTCTCATGCTGCCAGGTCACAAAGATATCATCCACGTAACGAAACCATAGTTTTTAATTGTTCCACTGACTCATGTTTAACGCTTCTTCTTGTAACATCTCCATGTAGAAATTGGCGATCCCATGGCTGTCCCTCGCATTGCTTGCAGAATTTTGCCTTCTAGCCAAAATATATCCATGACAAACTAGTCCTATTCATATACATATATGTATATATAATCAAAATGTAGACCACTTTATGATTTCTTCTGAATGATGCAAATAGGTTAATTAATTTTTTTTTACAAAAAAGAAACAAAAACGCATACGCATATATGCCAACAAGTCCAAACGCTGTCATTTGTTACCCTTCCGTGTCACGATTTCATCCAGTTTTTTCCGAACGCCGTCCAATACGTTTATCAGTGTCTGTTTGCGTGACAAATGAAAGCGGCGTTGCGCACTTGTTTCGGTACTCGAACCGTATGCTCCCGGGGCGGCTGTGGTGAAAAAAAAGAACAACCTCGGCACATACCCTCTGAGTTACGGTAATTTACCCTTTGCGTGTGTTTTTTCTTTCTCTCTCGCATTGCGACGAAGATAAAAATTTGCGATCGCACGTTGAATTTATATCTGCAGAGATTTGGGTTAATTTATCCATTTTTTATTCGTGGTGGAAGAAAAAAATATCAAAAAAAAGTTCGTTTTTATGATTGTGTTGTTATTCTATTGCGAAACACGTCGCAACTATAAAAGGAGTGTGACATAAAGATGGTTTTCGAAATAGATTTCTTAAAATATTTATTTATCTTACTACTAAGTATACTATTTGTGTTTTATGATGGATAATGCGTTCAAATAATTACAAAAACAACACAATATCGTTACGCACATAAATATTTAAGTACTTAACGAGAATAACAATTTAAACGAGGAGTTCTTTAAAAATATTAAGTTGCTTATGTATTGTTAATAGAATCATCATCGGATGAAGATAGTATAGTGAACGAGGAGACAGTCGAAAGCACCCCGGAAAAAGAAAAGATTCGGGATAGGAGCACACCCCAAATGCTTCCTCCTCCACCTCTATCGGACACCAGCAGTACTGGATCACCACCTTCATCACAACCAATGCATCACCGCCCGCGAATGCCACCCCCAATGTATACTAATTGGGATCATCGACTGGGACATCGCACAGAAATAACCGAAATTAATGATGCTATACAAAATTTGAGGCCTTGTAAGTACTATTATTATTAGACAAAAAATTAAATCTATTAAATTTTTTGGTTTAGATTCTCAACCACCAGATGTGACTCATAACACCGCTCAAGGTGGTCGAAGACCAACAGCCGCTGATAGAGTTCAAAGATACGCCTCTTCAACATCCGACGATACCATAAGTACAGGAACCGGAAGGTGGAAAGTGTCGGCGAAAATCCAGCAACTATTGAATACGTTAAAAAGACCCAAAAGAAGACCGTTACCCGAGTTTTACGAAGACGACGACATAGAATTAGAAATTGCGGCGAATCCAAAAGATCCCAACGCTCCAAAACCTGAAGGTAAGAAAAACAAAATAATTAATGAGTCAAAAAACTCAAATACCGCAAAACTTTCCGGCACGAAATAAATAAAACCTAACAGCCGTTTCAGAAACGGCAAATAAACTCGGAAATGTTTCGACCGAGAAAGTTAGTGCGCTTCATCAACTTTATTTTAAGATCAACACCTCGCTAGGCATTTTTAAAAACGCCGTTTCAGTGTAAACAATCTACTTATCAACTTTATTCTATTTGCTCGGTGAGTTGAGATAGAAGTGGGGCGACGTCGCCGTAGCCCCTTGGCACAGCGGTTAATCAGCGACTCCGCGGGGTTTTTACGTTAAAATGTACCTAACGTCTGAGGGGCGGAAGAGCTTGTTCTAGTTTCCGAGGGCCAATGCAGTAGCTTTACCGTGCGTGATTAGATTGCCCAGAACGTCCTAACTTGGTTTAAATCGATTTGAGAATTGCGTTGTACCGCAAGACGTAACTAGTATTTATTTACAGGAATTTTATGTTTATATAATAAAATGTTATAAAATCCTAATTACCGACAGATGAACAACCGGACGAAGAAAAAAAGAAATGCATGAACTATTAGAGAGAATATATAACCGGTGCCCAGCAAACGACATAAAAATTGCAGATTGGAAAAGAGAGTCTACACCAGCCATGTCCAACCCAAATTACTCTTCGGGCCAAAATTTAGGAATGTACAAGGCACTGGGCCGCCACCCACCTGAACAAGAAAATTTCAATTCTAGCGCACACTCGCGCTCAAATTAGATACATATACACAAACTAGCATGTACACAGATATACACAATAATATATAGGTATTTCAGTAAATTACAACAGATATTTAATGTGAAACTTGTTTATTTATTTTATTTGAAATTTTTTTAATATCAACTTCTAATTTTGTTGTGGCACAACGTAACTGATTCGTCAAATTTGCGTCGGTGAGCCTGTTACGGTCTTTGGTTTTGACTAATTTTAATCTAGAAAAAAATGACTCACAGAGATATGTTGTGCCGTTTGCTGCCACAATACACATAGCTAATTTTTTCAAATTAGGAAATTTATCTTCCTGGATATATTTTCCATAAAAGTCGACTATATTGATGTCCTCAAACCTTAATTTCATTTCTGAGTTGGACTGCAGATCGATAAGTTCCAGTTGTAAATAACCTGGAGCTGAATTCACATCAATATTAAATGGACAATTAAAAATATTGAACATTTGTTCAAATTTTTCTAGGTAGGCAAATCTTTTTTCAAATTCCTCAAGCAAATCTTTAATATTATGCGAATATTCGGAAATGGGTTTATTTTCCATTTCGAAATCATTTAAGTGAGGGAAATGTGTGGCATTATTCGATTTCAGTTGATTTTGAAAATATTTTAATTTAGCAATGAATGTCTTTATGTCTTGATAGCAATTCGTAATTAATTTATTTTCTCCTTGAAGATTCTGATTTAGTTCATTTAATTTAGTTGTGATATCTATTAAGAAACACAAATCCAACAACCATTTTTCATCGTATAATTGTGGAACGTCTTCGCCGTTCTCATTCATGAAAATTCTAATTTCTTCCCTGAGGTTCCAAAATCTTAATAAACATTTTCCACGACTCAACCATCGTATTTTGGCGTAATATATTAGGTCACAGTACTCGGACTCCAGTTCGCGAAGGTATTCTTGAAACTGGCGGTGTTTTAATGAATTATTTTTTATTTTGTTAATAATATTAATGACAACTGACATCACGTGAGACATATTTAATGACTGAGCACATAGATTTTCTATATGTAAAAAACAATGACAAATAAATAAATCCAAAAATGATGTATTTTGTCCCAAGCTTTCAATATGTTTGCAAATTAAAGTAACTGCTCCTATGTTTTTTCCTATCATTGATGGTGCTCCATCGGTTGTAATACCAATAAGTTTTTTTAAATCTAATTGTCGATCTTCCGCGCATTTTAGAACAGCATCTTTAATATCTTTGCCCGTTGTTGTATCCTTCAGACTCACAAGATCAAGGAGTTCTTCTGTTACTTTCAGCTTATTATCAACTCCGCGAATAAATATAGCAAGTTGTGATGTATCCTTGATATCGGTTGTTTCATCCAAAGCTAATGAGTAGTACACAAATTGTTTGGTATGTTCATTGAGGTTTAGGGAAATTTCATTGGAAATATCATCAACTCTACGTGCAACAGTTTGATGAGACAGACTTATTTGTTTATAAATATGAACTTTTTCCGGGCTAATATCTTCAGCTGCAGCAATTAAACATTCTTTGATGTATTCTCCATCCGAGAAAGGTTTCATTTTTTTAGCAATAATTTGAGAAATTTTTAAACTTGTACTGACAATGTCGTTTGATTGTTGATTTTGTTTTTGAAACACATTTTGTTGAGACTTTAAGTTAGCTTTAAGTAAGTGTAATTTGGCCTTGCGTTCACCACCAGAAAGTACAGAAAGTTCCGTATGTTTTTCATAATGTCTTCGTATGTTATAAGTTTTAGCAGTAATCGTTTCACGACAAACTAAGCACACAGCATTATTTTTTACTTGCAAGAAAAAGTAGTCATCTTCCCAATTATTTTTAAATTGTCTGTTTTCATCTTCTAGTTTTCTTTTCTTCCTACCCGACATCGCACGTCAATATTATGGACAATTTTATTTATTCTGGTATAATTAAAGAAACGAATAAATTTTTGTAGGACTGCAAATTAAAATAAAATATTACTTACTTTTATTTTCACAACCTTTTTAAAACAATAAGTTTATCAACTCTGTGATTAATCAACTCTCTACGAAGAACTCGCATAAACTGAAGGGACTAGAAAATTTTATGATTCAATCCACTTTTGAGCGAAACAGGGGAATACCCGACAAAACGGACAAATTCGCAGTTACGTATCTCCGAATCTACGTAAGTCGGGTTTACGTAGGTCGGGGTATTTACTGTATTCGTAAACGCCATACATCGGGATTCGCTATTGTGCAAATTATTTTTTTAACATCGTCATTGCCGACACCTCGGCGGCGGTGTCAAAAAAATTAAGATGAAAGGTTCTTCCCAATATATTAAGCTATGTGTTTACCAAATTTGGTAAAATTCGGCCAAGGAATAACCGAGTAAAATCGGTATATAGGTACCCACATACATACAAGATTCCATTTTTATATATTAAGATATAGGAGTTTTATAAAACGTCATTCGACCAAGTAATAAAAATTATTTGTATTATCGATTATTAAAATTTAAATATTAATTTGTGCGATTTCCTTTTTTTGTTATCGGGCCGCACAAAAATCGGAATCGGGCCGCAGGCGGCCCGTGGGCCGCCAGTTGGACATGGCTGGTCTACACGAACACAGCAATAAAAATGGGAGAAGACTCATTCTATTTGCAGCATCAAGAAATATAATAATGTACCGCAATATCACCGTAGTAATTAAAATTTAATAATCACGCCTGGGTAATAAGTAATAGTAAAACAATTTAACACACATAGACTCCATTGAATACATTGACCATGTATGTATGTGCATAATTAAAACTATTCATGCACTATTCGATATTGAACAGCGTATAATTTCGTCGTTAATATGTCGACATGGTTTTTGTTAGCGGGTGTGGGTTTAATTTATTTAAATCCGCAAATTAATAGGCTCTTAGTTCTCCCATACCTCATGAAATTTTCAAATTATTCTAAATATATAAATAAACATGTTTTTATTGAAATGCACGTTACAAAGAAGAGAACTTAAGAATCTTGGCATATTTCGCAACAGAAGTTAAAAGACATTATTCATTGTTAATTAATTTATTTTTTAGGTGGTTACATGACACCAGCAGTAGGTGAACAACTAGTGGTGGCATCAGGATTATCAAGAAATTTAGAAGCAGCTATATCCAGATACGGTTCTGGTTCGTTTAAAGCCCCCGTAGCAACGGTTTTAGATCCAAACGGAAAATTAACTACAACCCTTTCGTATGGCAAGCTTCTAAGTCGTTCGTGTAAAATAGCTTACGCCCTGCTTAGCAAGCAGTTCAGTAAGAACGGCGAGACAACGCTCAAATCAGGTGATCGCGTCGCACTCGTCTACCCGAACAACGATCCCATCAATTTTCTCTGTGCGTTTTATGGATGCGTGCAAGCCGGAATCGTTCCCGTGCCCATCGAGGTCCCTATAACGAAGAGAGATGCTGGGTCATTGCAAATCGGGTTCTTGCTCGGCAGCTGTGGCGTACAGGTCGCGTTAACTTCAGAGGCTTGTCTAAAGGGATTACCTAAAAGTCCTTCTGGAGAAATCGTTCAATTTAAAGGCTGGCCTAAATTACAATGGTTTGTTACTGAACATCTGGCTAGAACTCCTAAAGATTGGTCACCCGCACCAAAATTAACTGATGAATCGCCTGCTTATATCGGTAAGAAAAACATTTTCGTAAAGAATTTTTTTGTAACATTTTTTGTAGAATATAGTACAGATAGAGATGGTTCAGTAATGGGTGTAACTATAACAAGAACTGCGATGATTTCCCACTGCCGAACATTAACAATGGCCTGTAATTATACCGAAGGCGAGAATATGGTGTGCGTTCTCGATTTTAAACGAGAAGTTGGACTTTGGCATTCCGTTTTGACCAGCGTATTAAATGGAATGCACGTCATCTATATACCGTACGCTTTAATGAAAGTAAACCCCGCCAGTTGGATGCAAATGATAACAAAATACAGAGCTACAGTGGCTGTCGTAAAGTCGCGCGATCTTCATTGGGGATTGCTAGCTACAAAAGATCACAAAGAAATTAATTTGAATTCATTGCGAATGTTATTGGTAGCCGACGGTGCCAACCCGTGGTCTTTAAGTTCTTGCGATCAATTTTTAACCGTTTTTCAAAGCAAAGGTCTCCGACCAGACGCCATATGTCCATGTGCCAGTTCAAGCGAAGTCATGACAGTCTCCGTTAGAAGACCAGGACGAGCTGGCGTTAATTCAACAGGTCGTGGCGTCTTATCAATGCAAGCTCTTAGTTACGGAGTAGTTCGCGTCGACCAAGAAAATAGCCTCACCTCTTTAACACTCCAAGACTGTGGACAAGTGATGCCCGGATGCGTAATCGTCGTAGTCAAAATGGAAGGTCCAGCCTATTTATGTAAAACCGACGAAGTTGGAGAAATTTGTGTAAATTCTGGAGCAACTGGTACCCAATATTGGGGTTTACAAGGTTTAAGCAACTCCACGTTTAAAGTACAACCCCTTGGGGCGGATGGCAACCCGATCTCGGACGCTGAATACACAAGGAGTGGTTTGTTGGGTTTCTTGGGACCGGGAGGATTAGTTTTTATTTGCGGATCGCGTGATGGTTTAATGACAGTAACCGGCCGTAAACACAACGCTGATGATATCATTGCTACCGTTTTGGCTGTTGAACCAATGAAGTTTATTTATAGAGGACGCATCGCTGTTTTCAGTATTAGAGTGCTTAGAGATGAGAGGATATGTGTTATTGCTGAACAAAGACCAGATTGTAGTGAAGAAGAGGTAAATACCTTCATTAAGTGATTTTTCTAAAATAATTTTGAATTATTTTTTAGTCTTTCCAATGGATGTCGAGAGTGTTACAAGCTGTAGATTCAATTCATCAAGTAGGAATTTACTGTTTGGCTTTAGTTCCGCCAAATTATCTTCCAAAAACCCCATTGGGTGGTATTCACTTATCAGAAACAAAGAGGAAATTCTTAGAAGGAACTTTACACCCAGCTAATGTGTTAATGTGTCCCCATACTTGTGTAACAAATCTTCCAAAGCCACGGGAAATACACTCTGGTAAGTAATTATTTTCGTCTCAAATCATCACCTCGATAATGTTTAAGTCTTGTGGTGTCCTGACTTATTAGTATCTACTTACATTAGTAATATAGTTTGTTTTATTTGGTGGTCTTGTTTTGAAAGGCTAAGGTGACGTTACCTAACGTTGTTTATCCTTGTAGATTGGGTACTATTTATGCGTCAAAGATGATACCTTTTTCATACCTTGTAGCACTTTGTAACGTATTTGTAATGATTTCAGTATATACATATAATATCCTTTATTGTTACATTGTATTCAACTTCACCTCCGCCATCCATACTCCCTCCTCTACAAAACCTCATCCATGGCGGGCTCCCACTCTATACAGGGTTTCCCGCAACGATTGTACAATACTGCATCAGCGTATTCTCTGATCGAAAACAGACAAGAAAAGTCTAATAAACATAGGTCTGAAAATGGACCAATTTCGAGATATTCAAAGTTTTAGTTTCATAAGCTGACCTATTGTAAACATCATTAATTCTAACGATTTATAATCTGTTTTTTATTTAAATCAATTGTCAAAGTGTCGTCAAGTTGGTATTGAAAGTAAAAGCGCATGTCGTGACTTTTACTTTAATTGTGTGCCACCACTGTCTATCAAATTTGTTAAGATTGATTAAAAAACAATTTTCATATAATTTTTTTGCTGCTAAATCTACCATGAAAATGTTAAGAAAGGGTGGAACGGGATGTCAACTGTCTAAACGCGAAAAAAACTCTATAATTAAGTATTGTGAAGAAGTACAGACGGAGACACCAAATACGAATTTAAAATATATATGTGATAAAGCTTCACGTATTTTTGATGTATGTGTATTGCACTTGAGTTTTAAAATTAAATTTATATTCAACATAATTGTATTAGGTTCACAGCACGACGGTTTTTAAAATTATTCAAACCTACAAAAAATATCAAACTGTAAAAAAACCAAAAACACAAGGGCGTTGTAAAATGAACTACAAAACGGATAATAATTTATATTTTATTAAAGAAGAGTTAGGAAGACAAATACAAAAATTGCATGAAAAGAAACAGTATTTTAATCTTAATGATTTACTTAATTTTGCAAGAAATGAATGTGATTTTACTAATGGTAGATCAAAATTACATAAAATTATAAAATCTAGGGGATATAGATATAAAAAGATTAGCAATAGAAAAGTGTTAATTGAACAACCACATATAGTTTCAAAAAGAATTACATTTTTAAAGACATACTTGCAATACCTAGAATCCGGAGAGTATACTTTTGTTTTTCTTGACGAAACTTGGATTTACGAAAATGGCACCCAAGTTTATCAATGGGTAAATGAAAATGAAAGATTCGGTATTCCGCAAAGAGCAGAAGGCGAAGGAAAAAGATTTACAATCTTGCACGCAGGCACTTCGTCAGGGTTTTTGCCAAATTGCGATCTCTTGCTCAGTGACAACACGGAGCACAGAGATTATCATAAAAATATGACGTCAATTATTTTTATGGAATGGGTGAAAAATCAATTACTTCCAGCATTAAATAATTTGGGTGCGAAGTGTGCGGTAGTAATGGATAATGCTCCATATCACTCAAAACAAATCGAGAAAGCTCCAAGTTTCTGCACAAAA